GCTGTGACTGTCGTCGACTGTGACTGTTATTTGAGATCAATCTCAAATAAATTATTTTCAGATAACGCTGCATCGTGTGGTACGTACAATATATTGTTAGAATGTTAACACTCGCTAAATTGTATGCCCGTGTCCTGTCCATTGGTAAACACATTATTTGTGAGCGTGAAAAATGCATGCCTCTCGGCTATCTTCTGTTGTAAATTATTTTCAACAGCTAAGCGCTTTGCGTTTGACATGCGGCGAATCGCGCGGCGCCGTCAAAACTTATGGTAAAAAAACTACAACTATACATTCCAGTTGCATTCGTTCAGTGGCGTGCGTACCCAAAAAAAAAAAAAATAGTTTTATATGTTTTTTATTGATTTTTGTTTTTTTCAAATGTGGTACAGTGCTTTCTCAATGATCTCGGAAAAATACATGCACCATGAAACACGAAATAAAGCGTCAAAATACGAGAATTTAGCCGCCAGCAATGTTTCAAACTGTGCCTACGCAGGCTGCGCCTATCGAAATCACAGTCCACTCGGTTAGGGTTAACAGGGACGCTGGTGAGAGCCTAGCCTCAAACCCAGTGACTGGGCTCGAAAACGGCAGGCTGCGCCTATCGAAGTCACAGTCCACTCGGTTAGGGTTAACAGGGACGCTGGTGAGAGCCTAGCCTCAAACCCAGTGACTGGGCTCGAAAACGGCAGGCTGCGCCTATCGAAATCACAGTCCACTCGGTTAGGGTTAACAGGGACGCTGGTGAGAGCCTAGCCTCAAACCCAGTGACTGGGCTCGAAAACGGCAGGCTGCGCCTATCGAAATCACAGTCCACTCGGTTAGGGTTAACAGGGACGCTGGTGAGAGCCTAGCCTCAAACCCAGTGACTGGGCTCGAAAACGGCAGGCTGCGCCTATCGAAATCACAGTCCACTCGGTTAGGGTTAACAGGGACGCTGGTGAGAGCCTAGCCTCAAACCCAGTGACTGGGCTCGAAAACGGTTTGATGCCCCTGGAGTCAAGTGTTTCTCGGAAAGTTGTATAGCAACCAAACTCTGGATTTCTTTCATGTGGCTGTTATCTCCATCTGTGTGTGTGCATCAGGACCCGGGCGGCTCCGAGGGAGGTTTTTTGAGTCAAGTTTTTTATCGACTCACAAACAGAACATGCTTTTCTAGAAGCTTGAAAATCCATTTATATGCGTGCACTATATACATATTTTTTTGATGGGATTAAAAGAACTATTTCATTTGAGCAGATTTACTTCGTATGGCACCATCCTTTCTTTATGCGCATTGTGTTCTGGATGCTGATACAACTGTAAGGTGGCTTGCATAAATCAGTAGTTTGAGAGAAGTGAGTGCAGATTGAAATAAATATGTGTTTAAGTGGGAGATTTATTGTAATTACATTTCACAACTCAATAATGCCTCAACAGAGAGAGTCACTTTGTCTAGTAGCTGGGCTATAACGATATATTAAAAAAAAGTGTTAGGGACATCATTACTGGCAGATTGCACCAGTGGCCAGTTTTGGGTAAGTTACTTTCAAAAAGTCATTTGTTAGTTACTTTCAGAAAAAAAAGTAGCGAAGTTGCCTGTTACAGTTACTTAAAAAAAATAACATTACTTTTCAATTACTTTTTCATAACACAAAAAAAAAATCAGGGAAAACTAGGAAATTACATGAAACGCCAGAAAAGTATATGTGTTTATAATGCAATTAAATGCAATGGTGCAAGCGAGCTGGACAAGAATGAGGAAAATGATCCCTGGAGAAGGGGAACAAGATGTTTTACTTCATATCGTAAGTAAGCACCAGTCGCTTCTTAAAATTATTGTCTAAAAGTTACCCTCGTTCAATGGCGAACACATCCTTGCCCTTGCTGAAGAAGCATTCAAGTGGCGCGCTGGATGGAGTAGCTGTTGTTGTGTGCCACAAACAGGTGTTTGATAGCCGGGTAGGTATTAAGGCTACAGAGGACCGTTGCCTCCGAAGTTTAGTTTTTCCCCCGCTGCGCCTCACTGGTAGACACGTCTTGACTGTTGACACCATGCAGGAACAGTGGCACTAATCAAGACACGGTTGGTGTTTCACAGTTGGTGCAATTAAAAGCAATTGCACAGAAAAAAAGAAAAACTGCAAGATTGCACTTCAAGCTGTTAAGGTGCAAGTGTTCAATCACACAGCACAAGCATGTGTGTGAAGATAATCTACACATGGCTATATTTGGGTCGCGACTCGCGAGAAACAATGTATTCAAAAGTTGGTGCAATGTGAACTTGACACTTGAAATGTTGGAACACATATTTTGGAAAGTGCAAGAAATGGCTAGATTGTATTCGTTCAATATATCTTATTCGTCGCAATTATGCAAAGCAACGACAAAATTAACATTGCTACTTTCATTATTACTCCAGAAAAAGTACTTGAACTACAGTTAAAGTTACATTAAAAAAAAATAACTTGTTACAGTTAAAAGTTACCAAAAAAGTAACTAAGTTACCGTGTTACTACCCAAGACTTCCAGTGACATACCCATGATTTTTTTTTTTTTTTTTCGAGCGAGGGGGGGGGAAGGGAGAGAGAGAGAGAGATGGCACTATACATATGTGTAGCGCCAACAGAGAAGCTACTCGACCCTTTTATTCGTTTTTAAAATAAGTACCAGACCATTTTTATGTGCACAGATAATATATGAAAGCAGCTATTGTAAATTGTGGGAACCTGATATGGTAAGTGCACATGGTAAGACATTTTCTTCTTATGAAGGTACTCTTGCATTTATTATAGTCCTGCTTTATGCAAGGCTAGCTGTTGTAAGGGTTCCAGAATGCTGCACTGTGCTCCATCTCACAAGTGATAGTGCAAACAAAGGCACACATGCACGAGCCTAGCTCAGTAGAATGCTGTGTTTGTATGAGAATGTGAGCATTAAAGGCGCTTTCCAAAGTTACATGCTCATGCCTTTGTCAGCACTGCACATGTTTGTGAGACGGAGTATTCGCGACTCCAGCTTGTTGCTCGCCCTCTCACGGCAGAATTGGGAAGCGCTCTAGTGAGGGTCCCCCGGTTCTCCTGCTCAGTGGGCATGGCGGAACTGCTCGCGATCATCGCTCGCAAACAGTCATTTCTGAATGCATACGACACTCTTCACTGTCCCAATGTAGTACTGTAGTTCGTATTAGATTGTACCTTACTAGAAAGATTTAGTATTGCATATAGGAGCAAGCGCTGTGCGTTTGCGTTAAAGTTGCGTGCTCCGCGCTGCGCATGCCTGTCGTCGCCATGCGCCAATTCAAGACTGCAATTTAGGGCTCCGCACACACGCAGTGTGGTACACGCAACGCTAACGCAAACACATAGTGCTTGCATTCTCTCGTATGCGCAATACTCACTCACTACTGTTTCACTGGTTTTCCAACGCCAACGAAACATACTGCAGAGAGCAGACGTGCGAGTGTGTAAGGGATCTTTTCAACTGGAAAGGCTGAGATTGGCAAAAAACGGTGTGTAAAAATGAAAGAAAATAGATGCTCTGGGAAAAGTTTTGTAACTAAAAAACAACAAAAGCCCTTCGGTTTTTTTTTTTCTTTTTTTTTGGGGGGGGGGGGGGGGGGGTCATTTGGTCTGGCAGGATTCGTAGCAAATTTTGAACTTTTGCCAATTGTCAAAGGTGTCAACTTTGATAGCGATATGCTTTACCCATAATTAATGTAATTTTATGTGGATTTCTCAGACCAGCTAAAATTTTTTTTCATGGATTTTATAGTATTGTTATTTTAAACTGGTTAATTAAACATGCTGCAATTAGCACCAGTGATAATTTGCCAAATTTGGATTACCATAGTTGTTTGTGCATTTTAAATTAAATAAGAAACAAAATTATATTAGAGCTTGAAAAATATGTAAATAAAATATCTTAATTTTATTATTAATAATGGAAATTGCAGTAATGTAGGCCCCCAATAAACACCACAATCACTCAAATATGCCATTTAACCAAATTGTCTTTACAGAAAGGTCACATTTTGTTTCCTTTTTAGAATATGAAAAACCCTGGCATTATTATCAAGGTAGACATAAACCTTGGATGTAATAGAAAGTCCTACAAGTCACGCGTTAAAAAAAAGGACACACATACTTCTTCCCTCTGACTCGCATTCCCTTTGTGACTTTTTGTAGTGAGAACAGTGTTACTTATTTTATACGTTTTGTGAATATTTTCGAAACTCATCACACGTGGCGATATTTTGTAAAATTTCGATTGATTCTGTTATGCTTGTGTTAGGAATAATGCTAAAGAAATTAATCATCTAAATGCCCAGAAAACACCTAAAGGGCCAGCAGTTCAATATTTCACATGACGATTATCTGAGCAAGAAAAAGCAGCAAGAACACACAAATATTAGCGCAGATTTTTTTTTAATAAATACAATATTCTATGTTGGCTCTAAGGAGTATAAAAGACCCTGTCTTTAAAAGAACACTGAACACCCCAAATATTTTGAAGTGCCTGGATCGTAAACGTATGCCACAAAATAAAGTTTTACCGAACAATTTCTTTAGCTCAAAAATTACGCTGTGAGACATATCTCGAGTTCGGCGAGAAACCGAAATTAACATTGATATTGAGAAATTAACTACAAAGTATAAGCTAGTTTCGGTTATGTCCCTGAACTAAAACGCGCCTCCTGGCGCAAGTGTTACGTTAAACGCCGTTTTTGTTTTCAGGATAAAGAGGTGACCTTCGTGCATAACACCCTAGCTTTTTCGTATAGGCAGAAATAATTTGAGCCGCTCTGTGAAGCCAGCACACTAGGTAGGCTCAGCCAACTGGTATACCCGGCACACATCTCCAACCCTGACTATAACCGCTATTTTGGAAAACGAGTGGCGCCATGTATAGACATTTGGAGATGCGAATAGAGTTGTTGCCCACGAAAATAAGGTCTTAAGATTCCCGAGAAAAAAGGGTGTTCCTTACACAGAGCATGGTGTCTAAATCATGTGCAGAGTCCGAAGACCCTGCCAGGGCCCACCTGACACTGGGACTCTGGGTGCTGCTCGGAGTGTTCACATTCGTCATCCTAGAGCTCATGTTCTCGGCCACGACCTCACAAGATGAGCAAGATGTCTGCCGGTCAGACGTAAACCAAAATGGCGTCTCCAAAGGAGACTCTGCCTCCCATTCTGGGAGCCTGAGGACCATCCACGTGAGTAGAAGTCGGGGGCACGAGGGCTGGGCACAGGGATGCTAGTTCAAGGATAATGCAAAATGGGGAGTAAAATTGGGGTTGCTACTTACATTACCGTTTCCCCTAAAACATTTTGTCTCGTGCAATGCCAACATAAATAAAGCTTCTAAAGTAAGACAGCACTGTTCTCGTTAGCTTTTAGAATAAGATGTTCTGCTTGTGCAGTTCACGTGGTGCAGTTGTGAAAGTGTTATTACCAAGAGGAGCTATAAGTGAAAACTTAGGCAATGTGGAACAGCTGTGGGTGGAACAAGGATAACTTATACTGTAGCGGTCACCAGAGACCTGTTCCAGCATTCGCAAAATGCATGTAGGCTGGTTTGCATACCAATGTGGTCTTTGTCACCACTCCACCTCTCGTGCAGGTTACGGGCTACCTCAACCTTCTAGCCAACAGCATTGACAACTTCACCCATGGCCTTGCTGTGGCAGCAAGCTTTCTAATAGGCATTAAGGTGGGTTACTCTTGTCAAACTGAGTAGTGTCCCACTCATGCGTATCTCTTCCAGATGGGGATGGTCACCACGCTAGCCATACTCATCCACGAGATTCCCCACGAAGTGGGCGACTTTGCAATACTCCTGAAATCCGGCTTCAGCCGGTGGGATGCAGCTAAAGCTCAGGTGTCCACGGCCGTAGTTGGGGTGGCCGGGGCTGTGGCTGCGCTCACTGCGGACTCCTTGGAAGCGGTTGGTAAGCAACGTGACACCCCAGCTTGGGTGCCTGTGCCACAGGGGGGCGTTCTACTCGCAGACACAAACACATCTTGGATCCTGCCGTTCACGTCTGGAGGTTTCCTCAACATAGCGCTGGTCAGTGTCTTACCAGACCTCCTGAAGGAAGAGGATGCCTGGTGAGTTGACCGGTCACGGTCCAGCCCAGCTTTGTCTAACAGTGCGCCACTTTGCTTCCAGGGAGTCGAGCAAGCAGCTTGCGTGTGTCTGCTCTGGGATTGCCGTGATGGCGGCCATACAAGCCTTTCTCGAATAGAAACCTCTCCTATCATCACACAGGGTGCCCAAGCTAGTCACCGAGCCAGTCATAGAGTCACTCACTTCTCGGAAGTACAGAGTTTATTTTTTTTCATGACCAAAGTCACATAAATATGCTGTACAATACTGCCTTCGGCCTACTTTGGTATCCTCCTGAGCAGCTTGAGCTCGTGGGCTAGCCACAGCGCCACCGAAAGCAAGGTGACGGCTCCCGCTTGGTGAGAAGATGCCAAGGACACAGGTACGTACGTCAGCAGTGTCGAGACACCCAGGGTGGCCTGCCGGAAAGCAGTTGCTGTCAGATGTGGCCAAACATATCACTAAAGGTTTGTCTGCTCATATTATTTTAAATGCCAGCTTTTTAAATTCAAGTGTCCTAGAATTTAATCCAGGCGTCCATTCATATAATCAGAGTTGTGATTAATTTAATTCGGGTGTGGCTAATTTTAATCTAAGTTGTGACCAATTAAATCTAATGCTATTACTTATAATCCAAGAGAAACTATAATTTTAAAGTGTTCATATTGCATGAATAAACAAAGACAGCTGCTCCACCGTTGTAGCTTTTTGAGAGGACCAACATGTTTGAAAGTACTTTCAATGGTAAATATGTTTCGCGACCACTTTTTATAGTGAATTTTATTGGCATTTCCAGAAAATACCGTGGAATAGTCAAGACCAAATGATTGCATTTTATTTTGCTGACTCTATTTGTAGAGCTTAAGCGTTCTAACTTCGAAAACATCTCTTTAAGTAAAAAGATGTTTTAGACGTTCAAGTCAAGTGTTAATGCTTTCCTTAGTTTACACATGCAGATGTCTTTGCACACCCCTCTTTGGATGCTCCAAAGAGGGGTGTGCAAAGAATTTCTAGTGCATTAAGGGGTATTCACACGAGGGAGAAATCCCGAGGATTTCTCCCCGGCGCACGCGCATCAAGAGACGAAAACGCGAGGCTTTTGCTCATCGCAAAGCCTGACGTTTTCGTCGCAGGGTGCACGTGCTGTGGAGAAATCTCCGGGGTTTCTCCCTCGTTTGAATACCCCTTTAGTGCACAAAAGTAATTCATTACAATTGTGCATTACTTTAAGGAAGTAAATTCAAAACTTTGCAATTAACCATATTTATTGTTATATAAGTCGCACTTGCTTCTACGGCTGTTTACAGCCGGTTCAAAGATACTAATCTGAAGCCGCGCTTCGGACAGTCTTTCGACTGCCGGGAAAGCAGGCCGTCAGCCTAAATCATTTGTCGTAAATGTTGATACAGCCTACATCTTACACAGTTATTGGAAAACTGAAGCGATTCTGCATCTGATGAAAAGAACACTTAAATTATCTTCATTTAGCCTTTAAGATCATGAATATTAATTGTATTTCAGATTGATGCGCTAAAGAGCCACAACAGCACTTTCAAAATAGCGTTGAAGTCCCTCCTTCCCGGCACATTCGATGGGAGGTGGGAATCGCGACATACTATACAGAGATTTCAAGGTTCCCATGCCTTCCGCAAGCCTTACCCGAGTAGTGAAAAACACTGCAAGCATTCCCTCACGAGCGGCACGCACAAGGCAGTTGAAACCTCCGAGTATGACGTCACATCCAGCAGTTGGTTTTTCGGTATTGATATGTTCGGGTCAAATACTTGTGATATTCAAATTCACAGGACACAAGTATGCTGGAATTCACCTTTAACTCATTTTTCTTGATAACCTCTTCAGCTTCCCTTTAAGATCCATACTTACAAAAAAAGAAAACAAAGAAAAAAACATATAAGTCGCACCGTTGTATAAAATGTACCGACAGAAACTTGGGAAAATTAATGTGATTTATAAACCGGAATATACAGTACTTTCCTAGTGACCCGACTTCAATGATGTTGATATGTGATAGCATTGTTCAGACAGATGCATTCGTTCAACCCTTGCCCAACTGCTGAGGGTTCATTATGCAGCATTTTACAACCGTAAAATGTTTGTGCCTTTGTTTCATCTACTTCATTATTGATGTGATATGGATACTTAGTTTTAAGTATGACACGTATTTTGCAACACCACCAAGATTGTTAGTGTTTTCTTTTATTATCATGACCGTTGAAAGTATAAGTGATCCATTAGCGTCACTAGGCGCTGAAAATATCTCAGAAAGGCTCAAACTCTTAAATTAATCTGGAAATGGTTAATTTAACAAAAGTCGTAAGACATTCAATGCACACATCCCAGTTGCATTATACCTCGTCCTTTCTCTCCATCGTGACAATGAGAGGCATTCTCACTTTATGTAGGTATGTCCCTCTGCGGGGGCTGTAGCTTCAACAGTTGCTCGGCTATTTGTCGGCAATCAGTGCCCTGGCACACTTTCTGCATTTTAAATGACCCACGAGTGGGCAGAAGGGCAATGAGGCAGACACTCAATGCATCTTTCCCTGCCAGTGACTCTTAGAATGCCAGCATGAAAAAGTATTTGCACCATATTTTCACAAAAAAGTCACACCTTTGTACAAGTCAACTTATATACTTATAAGGTCAGTGCGTCGAAACTTATAAGGTCAGTGCGTCAAAACTACATTGATAAGCCTGCATATGTGTATTCTGATTGCAATATATAAGCAGAAGCGGGAGACAGTTTAAATATTCTTGCCAATGAATCAAACGAGAAATATAACCCCCATGGTAAATTTGCGCAGCGAGATGAAAAGAAAAAAAAAGTCAAATTTGGGGGTTTTACGTGCCAAACCTACGAGGGCATCTGGCATGCCCCAGCGGAGGACTGAGGATTAATTTGGACCACCTGGGGATCTTTTGACGTGCAACCGAAAGCTCGGTTACACGGCGCCTTCTCCGCAATAAGCCTCCGTCAGATTGCGGGCACCTCGGTCGGGATTCGAACCCGCCACCTGGGGATCCGTAGGCCGGCGCTCTCGCCTCGGAGCCACCGAGGCGGCTGCGCAGCGAGATGAGACGTCGAACAATACAGTTATATCAAATTTCAGTAACGGTTGTGGGTGGGGGCTGGGGCCCCAGCCCAGCGGTCATACTGCACTGAATAAATTGCTTATCTACAGTGGGTAACAATGTCGCCATGTTCAGGCAGACTAACCTCATGCTGTTTCTATTCATAAGAAAAAAAAAATTCACATAAGTTGCATTGTTGCATAAGATACGCTGACAAAAATTTTGGAAACCGCAAGTTATTCCCTGGAAAATATGGTAATTGTAGTTCAACATTTGAACTTACTAAGGCTTAAAAGTAACTAAATGATAACTAATTATTTTTTGTCAGAAGTAATGAATTACAAATTACTTAAAAGTGATAAAATTAGTTTTTCAATCATTATAACGGAATTGCTCAAGTACGCCATTGCACCTCACAAGTTGGCTTCAGTGTTGGCAAAGGCACTGGCATGAAAGTGAGGGTCTGCAGAACAATTTGTTTGCACGAGCACTGGGGCATAGAAAGTACCTTTGAAAAACACACACTTATGCCTCTGCCTTTGTCAGCACTGAGGACAAATTGTGAGATGTGTTATACCTGCTCCTTGTTTTGCAATAGAGATAACTGCAAAATAAAATGTGTAAAAAATAATTGAAATGCAAATATTCGAAGCATCAAGGTATATGTGATTTCAATCTGAAGCCTCTCCGAACCTTGTTTACTTTGAGATGTCATTCAGCTACTTATGCTTTTCAACTGGCTTGCTCACTCGCCTGCTGTCAAATCTCCCCGAGATTTAAGTATAAACTTTACGAAATGATTAGATAATGACTTCTGACAGGATCAAGTAATGAAATTACTAATGTTCAGTGTTGGGAAGTACTTTAAGTACATTGTACTTAGAGTACTACTTCAAGTAGGTTTAGAAAAATTTTACTTTACCTGAAGTACATTTTCTGAATATGTACTTGTACTTTACTTAAAGTATTTTTTCTGCTACTTTCCGAGGAAAGTACAACTCCCGACTTAAAAGTACATTTGTAGTGTTTGTGCCTAAATTTGGTCTCATTCAATTTGTGTCACAAAATGATGCTTTGCATGGCCGCACGAGCGAGCTTCCATAGAAGTTGCCTCTTTTGTCGTTCGCATAAAGCAATAACTATAGACTGTAAAAGACTTCATTTTCGCGAATTTGGCAAATTGTTTAGAATTCACAAAAAATAGGTCCCGTGAACAATTCCGGTAAAATGTATATACATCGGAATCTATATTGAGATCCCACCGCCTCGCGAAAATTAGAACCCGTGAATTATTCCAAGACTTCAGCTTTGACCTAAACCGCGAAATATTGAGCCCGTGAAAAATAAAAGTCGTTTACAGTACTCCATGTGTTATGTAAAGCACTGGGAAAGGCATGGGGACCAGTGCGTTGATCTGGGAAATGCTTTCTTGTGCTCGATGTAATTAAGCTCTTTCAAGGACCATATGCTCGCATCCGTGGCTTTCCCTGTACTATAAACAGCTTCTGAGGTCGAGTACAAGAGTTCACCAACCTCTAACAAAAAAAGTCAAATTTGGGGGTTTTACGTGCCAAACCTACGACGGGCATCTGGCACGCCCCAGCGGAGGACTGAGGATTAATTTCGACCACCTGGGGATCTTTTGACGTGCAACCGAAAGCTCGGTTACCACGGCGCCTTCTCCGCAATAAGCCTCCGTCATATTGACCAACCTCTAACAAAAAAAACAAAAAAAAGGCGTATCATCATGTGAAAACAAGCTATAGACTTCCGAGACGTTATCCGGTCGTTTCTCCGAGTGGAAGTAATGATGGCTATAAGAACGTTACAAATAAGTGCCTTATAAGTTGATAGTGTATCAGCGAAAGTAAAACTATGCTGTGGCCACTTGACTTCATCCAATATTCGCCGCCATTTCCGAAAATTACTGATGCACCCCTGATTACCCCTTAAGCAATGCATGCATGCCAGTTTAAAAAAAAAAAACAAAAAAAAACATTGTATAGGGAAAAGGGCACCATGAAGGATTGTTAAAATTTACTTGTACTTTACTTCGAAAGTACACCGTATTTATAGAACTTTACTTCAAATACAGTATGCCCGGTGTACTTTACTTTAAAGGGGCCCTGCAATCCTATTTAACTGCCTACCTTTTTTGCGGTTTCCACATCTCTTGGGGTTCGGGCAAGCCAGCAAGCACGGAGAGAGTAACTAAACATCGGTGCATCATATTTTAACCAGACGACGCGGAAACCTCCTCCACTTACGCAGGCGAACCGCGGTGCCAAAAGCGCGCAATATGTGATGACATCGTGACGTTTTTGGT